GATTTTTTAATAACTGTGGTATAATTATACGATTGTTCCACATTAAAACATCGTTTTCTATCGTAAGCTCGTTACGAATCGTATAAAATTGTTTAAATTTTTTATCATTTTTAGCATATTTTGGCCAACCTTGCGTTACGAATTTTTTTATATCCTGTAAATTTTTATCTGCAATGGAATATTTTTTAATTTCTACAAAATTTGTTGAAATTATATCATTATTCGAAAAAAAATTAACGTAATCTACATCTAGTGATTCCCAGATTTCATTTTCGACACTATTTATTGGCAATCTAGACAAAAAATCAGCATGATTATTATCTGACTTAACATACTGCACTTTATATCTATAATTTGAAAGTATGACTGCCCAACGACGTAATCTGTTCGCGGAAAATTGAGGAATACCTTTCGCAGGATTAAAAATAGATATAAGCGGTTTATTATCTGTCACTAAAATAAATTCTCTATTATATAAATATTGATTAAATTTACACAGAGCAAAAATAATTGATAAACCTTCTCTTTCAATTTGTGCATAATTTTTTTCAGCATTGGTTAAAGTTCGCGAGGCATACGCAATAGGTTTTTCACTACCATCCGGTAAAATATGAGAAAGCATCGCTCCAATGCCATACGGACTTGCATCCGTGGTTAGTTTTAACTCATACTCAGGATTATAGTGTGTTAGTACTTCCGCTGACATAAGAATATTTTTTACTTTGATAAAAGCTTCCTCACATTTACTAGACCAGTTCCACTTAACATTTTTTTGTAGAAGTTGATACAGTGGGCTTAATAATGTTGCTAGATTGGGAACAAATTTGCCATAATAATTAATCATTCCTAATACTGACTGCAATTGTTTAAGCGAAGTGGGAGAAGGAGCATTTTTTATAGCCAAAATTTTATCTGGTGATGTATGCAAACCTTCTTTGTTAATAATATGTCCTAAATAACTAATTTCATTACAGAAAAAATTGCATTTTTCGGGCAAAACTTTTAATCCGACATCATGTAACCTACCTAATAATTTTTCTAGTCTTACCGTATGTTCCGTTATATCCTTACCACAAATTAAAATGTCGTCTAAAAAACAAACGCAACCATCAATATCTTGTATCAAAGATTCCATTATTTTTTGAAATTTCGAAGGAGCGCACGCCACTCCGTAAGGCAATCTTTGATACTGGAAAAGTCCCTTATGCGTCGAAATCGTAACCAATTCTTTCGATGCATCATCTAGTGGTATTTGCGCATAAGCTTGGGATAAATCTAATTTTGAGAAAATGACACCGCCTTGCATTTTCGAGAACAAATCATCAATCTTTGGTAACGGAAACTGATCAATCTGTAATACAGGATTTATCGTAATTTTAAAATCGCCGCAGATTCTTACCGCACCGGATTTTTTAATAACAGGGACAATAGGTGTCGCCCATGGGGAATAATCAACTGGTTTAAGTACATTTAAATTAATCAAATTATTAATTTCAGTTTCAACTTTCTCGCGGATACCAAAAGGTAATGGTCTAGCTTTTATAAATTTTGGTGTAACTGAACTGTCCTTTAATTTTAAAGAAATTAGACCTCTATTAAATTTTCCTAACCCTGGAGAAAAAACTGAATCAAATTTTTTAATTAAAAAATCAGTATCTCTTTCTGATGCAAAATTTACTTGATTGATACTAAAGTTAAATAAATGCATAAAATCTCTGCCAAGTATAGGAGGTCCACCATTTTTAATGACGAAAATATCCAAATCCTTTACTACCTTATTATATTCAATTTTTAATTTGCACATCCCAAGAGTTAGCATTTCATCCCCATTATAAACATTCAAGCTTTTATTAGCGGGAAATAATTTATACTTAGGAAAATTTTGTTTCCAGAAAATTTCCGAAATAGCTGAAACGCTAGCTCCTGAGTCCAGTTGGAAAGAATAAACATTGCTATCAATTTTGACATTAACTAAAAATGGATGTTTAACAAATTTTTCCTCAATGGAAAATATTTCATCAGTTTCAATGAAATTTTGTACATTTCTATAGTCATGCCTACCCTCCATTTTGATTGGCTTCTTTTTCTTCTTCTTCGGGCATACCGGAGCTAGGTGTCCTTTTTCCTTGCACAGATGACAGCAATAATTTCGAAAACGACAGTTAGAGGTCGCATGATTCTTCCTGCCACAACACGCACATGCGCACTTCGCACTAGCACTAGCACTTACTTGCGCAGCTGCGGATGTCCCNTCGGTTGTTTTGTATTTATATTTGGGTAGTTAGAGCAACGATCGTGGGTTTCTCTGCCATGCTCTTTCCCCACAGGAGCTCTAGGTGAGCCTGGCACTCTCATTTTATGTTAAATGGTTGTTAATGTTTTTGTTGTTCTTTCTATTTGTCACATGTTTAATTTGAAGACTGTTGTACGTAAATAGTAAAGTTATGTGTATTTACTCTGCTTTTGTTTTATAAAATTAAACCATACATCCCCTCAAAAAAAAGTTAGTAGCCAGCGCCTTCCGGTCAATAAAAAAAATTAGATACATACAACGTAGGTATTCCCTATGACGATCACATATTTTTGGCCACCACTACGTTTATTTTTTTATCGAACCCGGGGTTGTTATACTACAATATTTTCTTTACTTCAAATACTAACGATGTAATTAATAAAAGGAAGATAATAGAATAGTAGATAACCAATTGTGCGAGTATGATAGGGTGTAATGACAGTTTCTTCTCAAAATTAGTAAAATTTTCCAGATTATCTTTCGGTATTAAATAGTTGTAAATATTCTTTAATTTAAATTACTTCTGGACTCCAATTTGACCTACATAATATAAGAACCGTTAATCTTGTTACTAACTTTGGCAGTAGAAAATTTAACTTGGATCCCATTTTCTTTTGTTTATTTAAGTTAGAGCGATTTTAAATACAGAAATTGTAATAACCATAATTAATTAATAAATTATTTATTGTCACAAAATACAATTTCAAATATTACTATAAATGTTAGACCCTATTCGGGATTTCGGCCACAAAAAAATCTAGTAATCACAATAGACTAATCAACCTCTAAACAGAAGTTTTTGTTACTTTTCTTGTGAGTTTTCTTCGTTTGCATGTTAAAAATTTCAGATGAAGAATATGTAGACATTAAACAAAACTATGTAAACATTAATTTTGGGTATGGACTGCGCAATGGAACCATTTATTAATCGAGCAGCGAAAGGATATCGAATGAAGTTTCCAGCACATACCTACAGTGTTCAGTAGATCATAGAGCAGGATTGAAAGCGTTGCTTCAAATATTTTTTATCAAAACGAGGTAAAACGACCAGTTGATAAGAACCAGCGGTTTGGCACTATATGGGGAGCAAGAAATTAGGAAGTTTTGAATAGCGAGTAATATAGGGAGCTGTTGCATTTTTATCATCGGCAGAACATAGAAGTATTACGACTTAGAGATGTTCAGCAGAGACTTCAGTTTTGGTAGTGAATTTTGAGACAATAGGCGCAATATAATAATTTTTAGAGTTTTATGGTCGGATCAGGTTAATAATTTTGATAATAATCACATTTAGTCTTTGGTTAATTCAAATGCAGTTTAATCGTGTCATCTTCGCGATTTATTATAAACATATATAAAAGTTTATCATGGCAAATTTATTTGAACACCATATTTGATACCAAGGGTGTCGCCAACCGATGGGCTAGGGGGGCAAGATAAGAGAGAGGATGTGAGAAATATAAATTATAGATAGAAATAGATACAGTGAATTAATTTTTTTTAGATATATATTTAATAAAACATTTTTAATACAAAAAATATAATTAACTAAAAAAATAAAGAAATTCAACATAATCTCGAAATTTTTTGAAAATTTGTCTATTAATAAAATCTTCATGGTTGTCAAAAATAAGCTTTCTGTGTATACTCATCATTGCTACGCCATTGAGATGATTTTGTACCATAATATTTCTCCGCCAGGTTTTTATTATTATTTTTTTAATTTAGAATTCCAGAGCTAAATTTTTAAAATATGGAAATGTATATAAATGGAAATTTAACATAAAATTTTATATTTTTAAATTCTTTTGTCAACAAATATTTATACTAATTTATTACAATTGTTTAAAAATAAATAAAGTAGTGTATTAATTTTCAGAATTAAAGTTTAAGTAAATAAAATATTTTATTAAATATTTCCAATCTAATATTTTCTTAGCTAAAGAAAATGTTTGTACTTTTTTCAAATTTCTACGCCCTTGTTTGATACTCCTTTCCACTGAACAAAACAAGTACAGTCCTTACAATATTTGTTGAGATAGAATTATAAGAAGACCCCTGCATCACTTTCTTGGAATTAACCGCATTCGACACCCGAGGTAGAAAGACATTGGTGGCGTGACGTTTACCGTAGCAGCTTGCAGTGCATACTGTGTTTTTCAGTTACGAAGGCGTGTTTCTTCGTAACTGTACGTTATGCGTTTTCAGTGTAATTTCTTATTAAAATAAATCAATGGAGGTGAAAAATAAAAGAAAGGAATTTAATTCTGAATCGAAGAGTATCGTGTTTAACGTGTATAATTATTTAGACAATTTAATATTCGGAAAATATAACGGGAAATTTCAAGTCCCTGCCGCAGTAAATTGTTACGATAACAGAACTTTATTGGCTTATTCATTCCTTGAAATTCTATCTTAACAGATATTGTACGGACTGCAGTTCATTGTTTGTTTAGTAAAAAAAAAAATAGGTAAACTAAAAAATTTATATGTGTAGTAATAATAATCTTCAGTTCTGACATTGTTTATATGAAAGTTACAAATAGTGTATAGGAAGTTTCAAAGTTCCCTTTCCAAGTATTTTGTTCGAAAAATACATTTAGTATGGAAAAACAAATAAAGGAATGTTTTCAGCATAAGTCTGAACTTTGCTTTTATTACATTTTTCTTAGAAGCATACTTATTTCTGATAATAATAATTGTTCTGATGGTGACGGTGATGCTGATGGTGATGGCGATGGCGATGGTGATGTTGATGCTGATACTGATACTGATGGTGATGGCACTTTCTACCTTAATATGCCATCACTGTGGCATGGATATGCGTGCAATGTCACCAACGCTATAAGATCAGTGACTGACTAGGCCTCAAATGGTCTCAAATACGGCGAAGCTTTTTGCAGAGTTATCACTGATGATGCCGACAGTGAAGAATGATGTATCATTTGGCAACAACATCTCATTGTTTGAAGAGCGATTCCATCTGTAAACCAACAGCAAAATCTAAAATCAATATCGGGGCGGGTTTAGGGGTTCAGATAACGGATCTGTCGGCACAGAGACCAGCCTGATAACAACAAGATTACTATCTAAGGTTAAAGAACCTTAAAATATGATTAACTTTTGTACAACACGTTTTTGAAGGTTTTTGAATATAGATTAACTAACTTTCATACAACTGGTCCTTAGTAGACCTTAATATTTTTGAGGGACCTTTAGAGGCCAATGATTTTTATATTTCTCAGATAAAGAAGTTATATGTTTGCCTGATAAAATTATGTTGTGAAATAATAGTTATTTTGTATCTAGTGCGCGAAATGCTACTTTGGTGATCGAGAATTGAATTTTTTAACGAGGCGAAGCCGAGTTAAAAAATTATTCGAGACCACCAAAGTAGTTCGCGCACGAGATGCAAACAATATTTTTTCTACAAACGTCAAAATCTATCTCTTAAAAATATTATAAATAAGTAAAATGCTTAATTTATTATAGAAAATAGTGTTGAGCTGGCTTAAAATGTCTTTCTTAATCAAATTTTCACTGTTACTATGGAAACAAAGTGGCTGTTGTTGACAACAATAATAATTATTTTAAAATGACGTTTGTGTTTGCGTCTTCAATTTTTAATTGCCAGATATTATTTAAAATAATGGAAATTGCTAGTGACGATGAACTAAGTAGTACCCCACCTAATTTGGCAGATGCGGCCAATTTGGTAACTTCAAATCCTTTACCGGAAAAATCGAAGCGCCAATATGAAAATGCATATCGGCAATTTAAGGAGTGGTGTGAAACAAATAAAACAAGAAAAGCATCCGAAAATGTGCTGTTAGCATATTTTGCAGAAAGATCCAAGAAGGTGAAGCCTTCCACATTATGGGCAGTATATTCTATGCTAAAATCAACACTTAATGCTAAGGAAAACGTAGATATTAAAAAATTTACCAAGTTGGTTCCATATTTGAAAAAATTGTCAGTTGGACACAACCCTAAGAAATCCAAGGTATTAACTCGAGAAGAAGTAAATCAATTCATAAGAGAGGCAGATGATGAAATATATTTGATGGCTAAGGTATATTTTTAATCATTGTTTTATATGTATTTTAAATTACTAAATATCGATATCCTTTTAGGTCGTTTTAATATTGGGTATTTCTGGTGCTTGCCGCCGTGAAGAACTCACTAAAATGAGTGTCGATGACATAGAAGATAAAGGTTCCATCTTGATTGTGAAAGTACCGGATACAAAAACGAACATACAACGAATTTTTACGGTTTCGAATCTAGATTATATCGATATTTACCGAAAATACGTGGCTCTTCGTCCAAGTTATGCTAGCAGTCGCCGATTGTTTTTGAAGTATCAAAATAAGAGATGCATTAACCAAGTTGTTGGAATAAATTCTATTGGAGGGATGCCCAGCTTAATAGCAAAATACTTAAAATTACCAAATTCTGATGCTTACACAGGTCACTGTTTTCGGAGAACCTCGGCCACACTTCTTGCTAATGCTGGGGGTGATATATGTAGTTTGAAGAGACACGGGGTATGGAAATCTTCCACCGTGGCCGAAGGATACGTGGAATATTCTGTCAATAATAAGATTGAAATATCAAATAAAATTTTAGATTGCGAAATTTCAGGATCACATGGTATCACCTCTACCTCAAAAATTAGTAGTGTTTCAACCCCCAAAACCCCAATATCCCGAGCTGAACCTGAATTATCTGGTTTAGGAATAAATATTGGTTCGTGTACTGGTTGTACGATTAATGTTAATATTGTAAATAATAACTAAAGTTATTGTAAAATTCTATCATTATTTTAAAAGTATTTAATTATTATTCATTTAAAAATAAATAATAATTTGGAGTTTTGCTTCCTTTTTTCAAAGATTGAAATACAAAACTCTTATTAATTTACATGCAGTGTGCGAAATACTTCGCACCCTAGCGCGCGAAGTATTTCGCGCACGGTGTCATGGTAACGTAAGACTCCGAAAAAAAGTGTCACTTCGCATATTGTTGTCAATGCGCAAACCTTGTCATTTTTTGACGTGTAGAAAAAAAACTTATAGTTGATCACAGTGGCCATCCACGTTTCCAGATTTAAAACCACTGGATTATTTTCTTCTAGGGAAAATATTCTGATGAGGTGGATAAGTGACAGGTGTATTTGAATTAAAAAAAAATGAAAATGATTCTTGTGAAATGTTTTTGAACGCATAGCACGACCATTCGAGACCCAGACGTGAAATTTAATATTCCAATGAGAAGATCAGTAATCCTACTGAGAGGGTTATTACGGTGACAGTTTCTGAAAACTCCTAATATCGCCAAGTCGAAACAAAATCTAAGATCAGCCTGTAAAACGGTAACGAAAGATGTATTAAAAACAAATAAAACAATTTTTTTTATTAAAAGGATTCATTGTTTGGATAATAATGAAAGACAAATAGAAAATTGTCTGTGACTATTCCTAAGGATGTTTGTTAAACTATTAAATATTATCGTTAATTGAAAAATAACGACCTAGGGCGCTATAAATCACTGTAGGGACCTCGGAAAAATTTAAACACTGCCGGGAAAAGTGTGTGAATATGAGAGTGGGGTACTTTGAAGGAGGCAAGGACCAATAATGTATAAAATTAATAATAAAGTTTAAAAAATAAAGTTCGATTATTTTCTGAACAGCGTCGTATAACGCAGTACTCTTAGAATATACTCTTTTAATCATACCTTACTTACAATCTTTCCGAAATCAGTTAAACATGTATAAAAGCTCCTAGCAATAAAATTTTATGAATTTCATAGGCGTCCCTAAAAAAGTTTTCTGCTAAAGGTAAAAAATAATAGTAATTTATATATAATGTGCAGAAAATTTCTATTATGTTTATTTGGCCAACAACATATTTTAATTATTTATGTCCTTCAACAATTTTATTATATTGATGGTAAATTTTGGTTCTGACATATCAAAAAACATTTACAGTTTCTTTAAAATATGCTGCTAGGCTGGGTCATTCCATTTGAAAAAGAAAAAGTTTTTCAACTCGTAAGATTGTAGGTCTCAGTTTTTCTGAGTCTGAATAAGGTACACTTTTGCTCACAGATGACAAGATGTAATTTATGTCAAAACGGACTGTGAAAACTGCAGGCTTCTAACTCTTACGATTTAGATACTATCTACTATCTAGCCTCATTTAGAGAGCTGAAATCGTGATTTTTTTCAAAACAACTGAATATCTCGAAAACGGTAAGTTTTAAACACCGTGTACATTTAATGAACTCGACCTAATATTAACCAAGGAATTCAAAAAATACAATAATATACAGGGTGTTCCATTTAAAATAACAAAGTTATGTAGCGCCCACGCGAAATGAAACTTCCTGTAAAGTTAAAAATATTTTCTTTACATGGTCCATGTGATTCAAGGTAACTTTTATTAAAACCATTTTTTTATAAATTTTACAGTTGCAGAGATACAGAAGAATCCCTTTTAGGTGAAACACCCTGTATAAATATATACAAGTTGTCCCATAAAAACATGTTGTTTGGATATTTCCGTAGTTAATACCTTTTTTAACTGTATAAGGGTACTGCTATAATTGTATTAAAAAACTTAACTTTCTTACAACCTTTATTTTTAACAATTTTTTTAATAGTAAAATAACGGAGACAATAAGAAGTAACATGTATGGCGGACCACTGGGTACAGTCACTGTATTCTTTTTTGCAAGACCTATGTAAAAGATCCTAAATTAAAGACCTTGTAATTGTGAAGATTTTCTACTCCCTTACATGAATTCACATTCACTTTTAGATATAAAGTTGTGCAGGATTTTGTGGACTAAGCATTGCTATTTTGTAAATTATAATATCTTTAATTTCTTGAATTATCCCAAAATAAAAACTTAAAATGATCATTTCTTTATAATTAACTCCGAATCGATAATATATTTTTTTCCAAAAAATATTTAATTTGAAACTTGCAAATTTGATCCTTGTTTTCAGCATTTTCCTTATAAATAGTTTTTGAGTTATTTAACATTATAAATTCTACTTTCGGATTTTTTTTAAGATAATTCAGGAACCCGAAATCATTTTTTTTTAATAATAATGTCCACAAAATCTACGCTAATTTCACTCATCTTGTAACACTAGCAATAAAAAAGGCACCCACACAAAAGTATGCATGTCTTGCCGAATATTAGCCATGATTCTCTTAACTTTAATGTTGTCGTAGGAACAGCCGAGGCGACTGCGATCGAGTTAGCCAGTATAGCAGAGGAAGTTACCGAGAATATGAAAACGGCAGAACACGTTATGAAATTCATGAGCCCGATATAAATGTTATGCGAGAAAAGAGGACTCAGAAATATCTGGTGTCTATGGTAACAATGTATGCAATATGTCTATGTCCTTTGATGATACTTCGACTGGCGCGACTAGCACTTGTTGAAACATACGACAATAGTGGACAATTCGACCTCACCTACACAATATTCGTATGGGTGGCTTTTGTTCCTACTTGTTCGACGCCACTTTTGTTTGCAACATGGCAAATGAGCAGGTATTTATATCATTATAACTATTTTCCCTGTAGACGTATGCTGTAACAAATATTAGAAGTTACAAAAATGAATTAATGTAGATAAAAAATGTATTGAAACGTAACTGTAGAATTGAATAAATTTCTGAATATCCCACCGCGAACTAATGTGATGGATATAAAGAAAAATGGGGAAGGTCGGTGTCGATTGTAACAAAAATTACACTAATCATCTTGGAATCTAAAGCATTTGAATTTTTTTGTAAGGATTTATCAAACAAATCTGAATTGGCTGAATAAAAAAAACTTCTCAACTAAATTAATTTAACTACTATTGTTATTTATTACAAGCATCTCCCTGCAAATTCTCTGTAGTCACCCATGTATAAATTGGCTTCGTCAGACCTCTAATTTAGTCTCGTCTTCTCTGTAACAAACAATTTTAACACTGGTACAACCATCTAAAATATTTTTTAATGTATTTATTTGTTATAAACCGCTTAGAAAGATTTTTCTTAAAAGCCTCTTGAAAGTTATGATGTTAGAGGTGTTTCAAAATCTTATGAGCTTTGACCTTCATATGCGCAGAAACATAATTCCGATCGTCGCCTAAATTATTCTACGTCCTAAAAACATTACATCTATTATTCACAGTATATCTCGAGCTCTTTGATTCGATTACAAATATCATAATAAAATGCCCTATTCTTAATTATTTTAATTTAAGCAATAAAAATATATATAACGAACGTTCGCCAGTTGAATTTATTGATGCCCGAGCGCCTTTCTGGTTGTAATGAGGCACGTGGTCTAATTCTAAGTCAATGTTTTCACGACGTGTTTATTAGAAGAATTCTGTGGATACGCCACGCCTTTTGTGCATTTCGCGGCTCATGAGATTTTAAAACTACTCTAATGGCCCTTTAAAAATATCTGGGGAAAATGTATTCTGTATGCTTATATTATCAAAGACCTTTAAAATTAACTGCTTCTAAAGGAATCATTTAAATGTTATCACAAAATATTTGGCTAACAGTAGTTCAATAGATCTGTTGAAATCTTGATATACAGGGTGTCCCAGAATAACGTATACAACGTAAAACCACATATTCGTAGACCCAAAATAGGCAGATCTAGGCTAATTCACCTATATCCGAAATCGCTTCGTTTTGCCGCTAGATGCCCTCAAAGTTCGTGAAATTTTTTTGGATTTTGAAAATAACTCAAATACGTATTATTCGATTTTGATTATTTTTGGGATGTGGACTTTTGCTTTCAGTCTACACATTTTGGTGTTATCCAGAGTGTTTTTTAAAACTTACTACAAAATTGATGTATGGTGATAATATCCGTTCATAACTTTTCCTCTTTCGGGCAATAATGACAGCTATTTTTTATTTAATAGGTGATACTATTAGGAAGTTTTTGGACCTTTTGCAGAATTTTGGTTAACTGAGCGGTGTGGGTACAAGAAAATATTTATTAAATGTCTACATTATTTTGCTACCCATATTACAATATTTAACAAAGTGCTAGTAGTCACTAATTTTGTAGGTTGACTGTAATTTCAGTTTGATCTTTAAGTCACTGTACCTGCCAATTATTATTAAGGAGTGTTTACTTCGATAAGATACTGTTACTTCATTTTTCGATATTGATACACACACATACGACGAATTAGAGTTATATACAACGTGTCTAATTTTATTGAAATAATTCGTAAAAACAATTAAATACAATAAAAAATGTTGGAGGTAAAAGTAACAAAATTGATGTTATTAAATTTAGTACAACTTATTATAAAAACTGTTCAAAATGGCCATCGTTGTTTCTGCAACAGTTTTTGCAGTTCTTAAGGGCGATTATTTAAAACATTTATAGCATTTTGGATATGCCTCCAGAACTCTTCTTCAATATTAGATGTGAAAGCATACTGTTGATTGCAAAGTTCCCCGAAGATAATAGTCACAATGTGATAAGTCTGGTGAACGTACAGGCTAGTTAACAGGAATATTACTGATGCACCAACGAGGGAATCTTTAGTTCAGATACTGCCGGACATTTACAGTGAAATGTGGTGGAGCGCTATCATGCATAAACCACATGATCTCTGAGTAATAACGACATATTTTCTATAACTTGGGTTTTGCAGACATTCTAAATAAAATTCCCCATTCAGTCTATTGGGAAGAATAACAGGGCCAATAATAATGCAATGATCCCAAACCAAACATTGATGTTTCACTGACAATGTTTCACTTTCACAGCATATGGATTTTCTTGAATATACACATGTTCATTGTGAATATTTATTATTCCGCTTCTGGTAAAACAGAATTGGCGGTACAATGACTTAAAGATCAAACTGAAATTACAAACAGCCTACAAAATCAGAGCCTACTAGCACTTCGATAAGTATTGTAATATGGGTGGCAAGATAATATATGCATTTAAAAAATAGTTTTTTGTACCCAAACCGGTCATTTAATAAAAATTTTACAAAATGCCCAAAAACTACCAAATGATATCACCTATCAAATAAAAAACAGTTGTCATTATTGCCCGAAAGAGGAAAAGTTATGAACGGATATTATCAAAGTTTTAAAAAACACTCTCTGTATAATTCCAGAATGTGTAGACTGAAAACAAAAGTCCACCCCCCAAAAATAATCAAAATCGAATAAAACGTTTTCGATTTAATCACAACATTAAAAAAAAAATTCACGAACTTTGAGGCCATCTAGCGGTCAAGCGAAGCGATTTCGGATATAGGTGAATTAGCCTAAATCTGCCTATTTTGATTCCACAAATCTGCATATGGTCTCTCGTTGTACACGTTATTCTGGGATACCCTGTATATAGAATGTAGATTAACCTACCCTATAAAACTAGTTATTGTTACTAGTTTAGTTAACTGTTAAATATTAGTAATTACCTTCTGACTGTTCCAAAATGTCTGGGGCACCCAGGAGTACAAAAGCTAACTCACTGTAGAGTAACCTGCCCAAATTATCGCAAAAAATTTCCTGCCCCCCCTATTTCCGAGAGTGCTGAACACAAATTTGAAGTTATTTTTATGCGGCCGAACCTAGCTTTCGAGAGAAAAATTTTTCAAAATTCTAACCTACATATTTTATAGAACGCTACCCACGACACTGTATACTTTATGTGGCTTCGAGAACATCTCTAATGAACAATCCACATTGTTTAAAAAAACACATTTTTATAAATTTCAAGTAAAAAAAATATGTATTCGATAAATAATAATTATTTCTTTCAGTAAGCCATTTGCGATTCATGATGTCATTCAAGTTCTCCTCCCCACTCTCACTCATTTGTGATCATCCGAAATGATTATTTAATAAACACACATTTTTTTTATTTGGAATTTATGAAAAAGTTAGAATTATGTTCAACACCCTCGAAAATTTTTGTGACAATTTGGACAATAATTACCCTACAAAAAAAACAAAAATAATAAATTATGTCAATTTTCTGGAAGAAAATAAAATGTTTTTGAGTGGCAAAATAAACCCATTACATTTACCCAAATTAAATAAAGTATGGAAAGAACTAACTTCACACTTAACATTTGACATTTCTTCCACAATCGCAGCACCCACACGATACGATATTTGTTTACGTTCAACAAATATTTAGTGCCCGTATGATCTGAAGCCGGCTTAATATCATTTTAATATTAAGTATGAAACTCGTTAATATACAAAATAATTCCTATAAAATGTCAAAGCGAAACTTAGTTGATTAACTATCTATGATGCTTTTAGTACAGCACCAGATGATTTAAGTAATTTCAAAATGAGAAACTTTTACGTTTGAGCAAAATTTTAATTATGAAAACTTTAATTCTGCTTTAGAGGAATACCTCTAACTTAAAATGAGATTCACCACAAGTACAGACGTTCCAGCTGCATATACATTCAATTAAAACAGATTAAAAATAGATTGTGTATGAAAACGCCATAACTGTCTAAATTGTTAACATAGTCTCTAACAAATAGGTATTTCTTGTCAAATGTGGTAGCTCTCTTCTCGATAAAAAATTTTGAATAAAATGATTTTTTCCACTATCGCTATGACAACAGCTTTTTGACATTCAATTTTCTTTTTAGTAGTGCAAAAAATATTCATTCATTAGTGTTTCAAAAATATGATACAAACTGAAAGAGGAGATCGAAAATGTTATTTTAAACAAAAAGTTTCCCGTGATCATAAACAATATAACATAGAACACATAAAAAAGTTACAGAATGTTAGAAATTATCGGATATATTTTTTAAATAACTTCAAAACGGTTGATCAAATCCATTTGAACAACAATCTTTTCCACACTCACAGTGGGGAGATAACTGAGAACTTTTTATTTTAAAAACAAATCCATGGTATTTTAGTAAAAATAATACATTTTTATATAGAAGAACCTCAAAAGACACAAAAAAGTTTATTTTGTTTGATTTCTATAATCTGCACCGTTTCCGAGAAATTAGCAAGAAACATTAAGTATTTTTGGTTTGATGACATTTCGAAAATTAATAGTGACGCGGATTGCTTTCATATTTTGCTAAAACATGGTAGAAATTAAAATAAGAAAACAAATTGTTAAGAACATCGATGCGGAGGGCTGTTGTATCCCAGTAAAGTATTTATTTTGGGTTTATTAGCTCCCATATTTCAGAAAGCTCTTACTACTTTTCACAATTCCTACGACTACCAATAGAAAACTGAAGATGGACCAAAAATTAGAAAAAAATATTGGAAGATGGCACGATGATTAACA